AATCATTTTTAACTGTTAACAAAATTTTAAGTGAAATTTTCTAAACAAAAATGAATAAAGTAAATAAAATATACACATTTCTATCTATCGCCTCCTTACCTCCGCTAGAATTAGCGCAGAAAAACGTTATTTTGCAAACTACAGTAATTCCTCGATTTTTCCTACGCCATGACTGCCTGAAGTAAACTATAAATCATTGCCAACTGTTGCTGTTGTTCAGATAGCCTTTGAGAAGGAATTGCTAAATTTCAGGCCTTGATTTAGATTTACACTTAAGAAGAAAAGTATCAGTGTCTCATCTCATGGAAAAATTGCAAATGCGTATTCGTGGCTTATCATAAGATGGATTAAATTTCAATAATAAAATAAGTTCGAAATAATTAAACTGTTGACACTTTAATTTTCAATAAGTTTTATGCCAGAAAGATATTTTGCTCGACCTTCTACTCTGAAACACTGAACGATTTCCGCAATTTATGCACTGGTACCCTTTATAATCTTCTATTGGCGTTAATGTGACGAAGTTTTCCGGGCAGGTTTCAAACAGGTGATTTAAGGCTAAGTCCAATTTTGAATAAAACACTTCTAGGCTACAAATGGCTATGTATCATCTTATAACTAACAGCATTGTGTGCTTATGTAAAGACCATATAAATTGGATGATTTTACGATATAATTAGTGGACATTAAAAAAGATTGATTAGTTAGAAGCGCATTTTGCATCTGTGCACAGACTTTCCCTAATACTCCTCTCGGACCTCTCATTCTTTGAAACCTCTGGATAAAGAGATTATGCAGAATTACTCAGAAAACAAAGGAAGTTAAATTTGATAAATCATTTTCACTCCATCAAGTGCTGTTGATTTCACAGTTGGATGATTCACTTGAAGGCGTTAAAGAAGACAATTGGTGGAAGTGAGACCTACAATTAATCCTATCGTATCACTCTATCTTCAACACAAAAGATGTAATCCCATCCCGCTTTTATATTAAATCCCTGCTGGATGCTTACAAATTCGACGACACCGAAATCCAGAATTAGTTGCTTTAGCCTTCTTCTTACATTTACAGCTAAAGAGTATTAGCTTTCGTAGAAGTTAAACTTTTCATTACCTTGTTTTATGTTTCAAAACTCACATGAATTTAAATAAATTTTCTCCCTTACTTTTATTCAGGCTGTTCGTTCAAATTCTCTGTTTACTTCCATTACTATGAATGTTGGTAAACAAGTAGTTTGACCAGTAAGTGGACAATGAAACAGCGTAGACATGAGGTCCATTTGATTACTCCACTACAGGCGACTCATTAAGATACAGCATAAGTTGATAGGGTACTCTACAGCATACCGTTGCGTTGTATGTTCTTCAAGTGTGAAAACTTCTTACCGTAAGATTGAAATACTATCAAACTGGATAAAAACGAAAGAGATGAGAATAAAGAATGGAAAAAGGAACGAAAAAGATAGATCATTTGGAAATTAACATTTTAAAATGACTAAGCAAAGTCATGTTCATTCATGAACAATTACTTCGAAATCAATGTTTCAAGAAATTCGCATCTATCACTTCCAATTAAAGACACCATTTCATTTCCCAATCAAAAATTTTCCTTTTCAGGACTTATTTAGAAACATGAGAATTTAGTCGAAATGTTCTTTTTCAAGCGTAATATAAATTTACAGATCTCACTATGCAACTCACTTACAAGACAATTTTTGAAAGCCTCTATGAATTTGATTGTCTGTCGCTACAAATGACCCCCAGATGGAGGAGGTATGTGAGGTATGTTAATATCAATAAAAGATTTATATTCATTGATCCTTCAATATTCAATGTACCCATAAAGGTACGCTGTATAGACTATCGCCAAACCAATGACGCATGTCAACTCTCAGACCTCAGTCACCATCAGATGTCCTCACATACAATGGACAACAAATACATTAAATGACAAAATCAACAAACTGCACCTCGCAAACACATGCATGATTGAACAGGTACATACAGGAACAATTAGCACGACGAACAATGGATGACGAGACTGCAACAAATTTACATTTGCATATAAATGACACTGTATCTCTGTTTTGAAGTGTTTTTCACATGCGCATTATCGCACTCATGTCAACCACAGCCAAGCTACGGTAAACAACGAAAGCCAAAATAGATCGGGGAGGCAAATACTGATCGAATAAATGAATAGAATGTGTTAAATCAATCATGCGATTTTAATCCTAATGTGATAAAACATAGAATCATTCGAGAAAGAGAAAGAGAAAAAGAGAGAAAGATTTAACCATCGATTTTCACGACATCATCTCAACATTCACTTCAGCAAACTTTTTTTTAAGAAGAGAATTTCGAGACCCGTTTATTGAAAAATATAATCTGTCGTGGTCGATGGAATCTTTTATTGCCACAACAACCCATTTATTTTATCATTCAGTTTGAAATTTGTTTTACTACAGCTATAGATATCTACAGAAAGTTAATTTGACAAAAGGAAACCCACTGTAATCGTCTTGGTGAATCCTTCTGACAATAGTGTGATTTCCATATAAACCAGATGATTATCCGGCTTTTGGTTTATTTGCAACTGTCCCGTTTGACGATCAATATCAGCCCATTGCAGACTATTCATATTTTTTTCATTTTTAAACGAAGTTGTAAAATATTCAACTGTAGCACCAGTTTTCGCTACTATAGTACCAAACACTGTGCCAGGTTGAATATCTCGATGAAGCCGATACTGCTTTTTGAATTCGATTGGTGCCTCTAACTTTGGATTGCTCGAAATCAAAATATAGTGAAGCTCGGTGCTCCTCCGCAATTTATCATCATCTCGAAATCTAAACCAATTTTTTATTGAAAAGAAATTTATAGTAAATTCAATTCTACATTCCTCGCTTTCCTAAACATGAACTTACCCATTGTTAGTGTGTCGATCGTAAACCAATACAGAAAAATATTCCGGATCGCCTGTGAAAGGACTGACTGTGAAACCACTGTCGTTTATTTCAGAAACAATTTTTGCACTTCTTATAATTTTATAACCGACTGTTCCATTTAAACCAGCATCCTTATCTAAACAATTCCATGGAACGAACAACGACTTAGACCCAACTAGAATCGCCTTGGTTCCGAAGCATTGTGGAGAATTATCATTTTCATCATCCACTTGAACCGAAATGACCCTTGACTTCAAACTATCACTTTCAGCAACGACTAGACGATAGAAGTTCACTTGTTCACGATCCAACACTTCAGCACAAATTAAATTCTGTTCTTGGAGATGAAATGTTTTCCCGGCTGGTATTTGACGTAATAACTGGAAATCTCTCCCCAATGTTTCTATTTTGCCACATACTTTGCCAACATTGTTGTTTTCCTGAAAACATATAATTACTGCAAGGTTTAGAAGATTTGAAGAGTTTTAAGCAATAGCAAGAATCCATCACATACAAGGAATTGAATAAATGAAGAGACAAGTTGATATTGCGATAAATGAAATAAATAATGAAAGGAAGGGTTAAAATCACTTGAACATGAATTGAGATTGTATCCGTGCCAGAATGTCCACTCCTTTTGCCCACTACCGTAATTCCAAAAGTAACATTGTTAAAAAGTGATGTCGTTTCAGCTTTAATTATTACTTCGATCCGCTTTCCAACATATCCATTCAGGCCTCTTGTTAAAAATATGCTCCCATCAGTAGAATCAACCCAAAACGGTCCGAGATTGCTTTGAACACGATAACTTGAATTACCATAACTTAATGAATATATTACTTCTGCTCCGCAAGCAACAGCATGTACTTGGGTAATCAATTGTCCAAGCAAGCTTTCGTCAATCTCAATATCATCATTTGGATAATTTGTAAAATTAGGTGTACAATTTTCTTCTGTATCGGTGTGAATGAAAACGAGTGTTGCACTAGAAAGTGGCGGAGTGCCTCTATCTGTTGCGATTATGGTGATATTATAGATATGGTTTGGTAAAAGAGGACCGTTCAGAGTGATATCACCGTTGCTTTCATTGATCTGAAAATAGTAAGCACTCTAAATCACAGAAGGGTTAAAAAAGAACCCGGACGGCTCACGACCAAATTTGAAGTCAAACTGTATTAAGGTTGCAAATCAGTAATGTTAAATATGAATCAAAATGATCAAAAATTGGGAGATATATTGAAACTACAGTTAATGGGAACTTTTTTTCAGAAAAAATTCTGAAAATATTAAATTGATAAGACTACCTTAAACGGCATCCATTTTTGCTGCAGTTTGTATCTAACTTCACCATTTAGAGCAGAATCCAAGTCTCGTGCTACTACTTTACCGCCCAAATTATCTTCTGCTCTTGCTGAGACATAGAAATGATAAAATTCCTGCTCCCAGTGCGGTATGTTATCGTTTAAATCTTGCACTTCAATCATTATTGCACAGTTTGTTTTCAACAAGCCTCCATCCGTAACAATTATGGTTAAATTGTGGAACTGGGCCAGTTCGAAATCCAACACCAATAATGCTCGAATCTGATGTTTGATAATGAAGCTCTTGTAATATTTAACAGTAAGAAATGAATGAAACAATCTTATTAAAAGATGTTGAAATATCACCAAAAACTCACTGGTAGTTTGTAGTGAGCATGGAAAACATCATAGAAAGACGATGATTATTCTAGAAAACGGAAAGTTAATTGCAATAATAAATTGGTTATTCAATTGAAAAACATACGATTCCAGTATGCGGATCAATGCTGAATGTTTTCGTGCTATCATCTATCAATTCATACAATAATATTCCATTTGAACCACTGTCATCGTCAATACCATTGAAAAGTCCCAGAATTGCACCAGGAATGTTATTTTCGGGAACGATAAATTTATTATTCTTGGAACATTGCGGCGCATTATCATTTATATCCTAGAACCATGAATTTTTTTTCTCGAGTAGCTAAACCACCAGTTGATAACTACTTATGTATGAAAAATGCAACCCCTGCTTGATTAATTAACCAGTTTTAAAGCATCGCCAATTTTACTAAAATAGATTGCCATTTAGAAGAGGTCTTCATGTTTATTCTTTATAAAAATCAAAAAAGGGGGAAATTATCCGGAGGACTTTATTCAAAGAAATCTGGAGAATTAAATTTTACCGCTATATAAAGCTGAAATAGGAATTCGTGCTTGCTCGGAATTGAATTTTTGTCTGAATTGAAAGCAGTAACAGAAATTGATAAGTAATTCACAATTTCATGATCGATCTTGGATGCAATGAAAACTTCACCAGATGGAAGAATTTGGACAGGATGGCTTTCCGTAACTCCAGATGTTTGAAATTCAAAACGTTGAGTTATATTTTTGGGTGCTAGATTGGTTATAATTGTCCCCAAAGGTATATTTTCTGGTATCGATAGTGAAATTACTGGAGGAAATGTATAGATCTGAAAGAAGAGTTATTCAAGGCTGGTTAAAATTTATTTAACGTAATTAAAAATCTAGCAAAAAAATGATGCCAAACTACAGCGAAAAATTTAGGTAAAATGAAGAGGTTTATACTAACTGCGGGGAGAAAATGAATGAGAATGATACTGCTTAGCCTTAGCCTTAGCACCTTAACTATCATCACCTAATGTACCACAAACTTCTGGTGATAGTTTTAAAATTCATGAATACCAGTAAGAAATCCAAATTAGAAATGAGTAGTTTCAAGTTATATCAATTCATGGTCAATCGAAGAAAGGTTTATCCTACTTGACGTAAGTTGTATTCTACTAAATTTTAAGCGAATTTGTGCTTAGCACGGCGTGTTTGTTAAGTCGTACTGCTGTAACTGCAATAAAAAGATGATATAATGATCTATCATCAAGAGGCATGCTGAAATCACAATTCCTTACGAGCAAGAAAATTAAATCCGAAAAGGTACTAGTTATTTTTTGAAGAAACTCACTGTTTCATCTTCCTTGATTTCTACCACAACCCTGATTGTACTACGTCTTGATTGTTCTCCGCCATCAGTTGCGGTCACATAGAATTGCAACTGATTCAAACCATTAGGAAATTTCATCAGTTGTACAATGCCCGTTTCTGCATTAATACCAAAAAAGCTACTGTTGACACTGTACGTAATATGACCGTTGTTACCGTCATCAGGATCATGGCATCGTAATCGAAACAATTCTGCACCAATCCCTATCCAGCGAGAATCAAGAACAAACTGAGCTGTTCCATTAAGTTCAAAGACTGGAGAATTATCATTCTGGTCAAGGATATTTAATGTTCCTTGGTGCATTGCAGTGGACCATTCGCTATCCGCATAAACTGTGAAACCAATTCTAGTTTCCATTTCGCGATCAAATGAACGACGAGCTCGCACTTGACCCGTGAATTCATCAATCAGCAAATCAGTGGTGTTGATCCGATAACGAATACCTTCCTACAATTTTTTTTTTTGAATGAAATTTCTTATTGAATTAAATTTTTGCAACTTTAAACCATGCCTAAATTTCAAATGCATCAAATATGCTCCAAAATGCTGCAATAATTCAACATCTCACGGACAATGAAAAATACCCATTTCAGTGAACAGATGATATTACACCTTGTCTACTATTACGATAGAAAGTGAAAAGTTTGAAGTTATCTATCTTCTAATCGATAAAATTCGACCTTTTATAAGATGCAAGTTGCCGTTATAAAAACTCACAAATGATGAGTGCACAGAAAATGAAGCCAAAATTTTTTCCGGTGACGAATTCTCGCTGATTTCAATGGACCAGTTGTTCGGGATGAATTTCGGTACTTGAAGCACACTGTCCAGTAACCATAAATGTACAGTAGCATTGTTACGTGACAAATGACCGCCGTTATCTTTCGCACCCACAACGACCTGAAGATACATCGCTACATTATAATTACATTTACCCGATTGCTAAGAATGGTAAGTTAAATGTAAAAAATTTAAGAAGGAAAATGGATAAAAGCACTAACTTCCATTTTCGGTCCAAAGTTAAGTAAATCGGCATGTGTGGCCAGATACATTCTTCCACTTGCATGGTCCAATCCCAAGAAACCTGGGACAGAATAATAAAACAAATATGATATTTGCGCAAATTTTGAACTGTCGTCATCAAATGCCTCCAGCTGTACGAGATGAGTACCCGGTGGATCCCCTCTCACAATGTAACCATGATACTCAACCTGGCCAAAATATGGATCATTGTCGTTTACATCCTGAAAACAGGTAGAAATATAATGTTGTATTACAGTTTTCTACCAAAGCATAGATAACTCTCCTGAACAATCTAAACCGTTGGTTATTATTTTAAAAAATAAAAAAAAAAAAGGAAGAACTATTGGTTTAATTTGGCACTTTTTCCTACAAGGTTAAATTTATCGTCAAGAAACAAAACAGTGTAAGAGCTTGGTATTACATTAAGATAATGAGAGAAATATACGAAAAAAACGAACTAAGACGTTGATGAAAAGGAGGGTTGAAGAACTCCGTGGCGGATTCCCGTGATCGGTAGCGGTAACAGTAATTTTATGCAGCTTTTTAGTTTCTCGATCAAGCTTTGTACGTAGCAATATTTCTCCAGAAAATTCCTTGACCATAAATATTTGTTCCTTAGGGGGGCCTTCTATACTGTACGAAATAACACTGTTATTTTCATGATCCTGAATATCAGTTAATTTTAATGACGTTAAAATTTTTAATATCACTAAATAACAGCCCTACAACAATTTTCACTATCCAATCAAACGGTCCAAGCGGTTCTATCTCCCAAAGTTGATGGGTTTTGTTCAATAGGAAAAATCACACCTCATCAGTTGCAGAAACTTTAAAGAAGACGGTAAGTGGTGGAGTGTCTTCTGACACTTCAACTTCATAAAAAGAAGAGGGGAATTGCGGTTTGTGATCATTCACATCGATAATTGCTACTTGAATTGTGCAGATCGAAAATTTATCACTGGGCGCGGCTTTCCGTACTATTATTTCAAATTCGTAATTCCATTTCGTGCGGCTTGGCCATGCTTTGGAAAGTGTCACGATACCTATCAATCATTTCGATTAATTTTTCAGATAACTGAAATAATTCAGGCTATGTTCAGGATACCTTTCTTCCTGTTTGTTCATTCCATTACTACAATGAAATTACTGATTCCTTGCATTTTTCATTAAATGTGCTCCATTTAACGATATCTAACATTGGGCCACCTGATTTTGTATTCCTTACTGAACTAAAAAAGGTCAAAACAAGAAGAAGTAGATGATAATTTATTTGTTTACTTAAATTTCATTGTATTTTATTGATCGCTCCGACTGAACAGAAAAGTCGAAGTCAGAATTTCACCTGTATTTTTACCAACCGAAAATAGTCCTTCATTTTTGCCATCCTCAATAATTGAAAAGTGCAAATCTTCCTCAGCAGAGGCTCGAACCGCAGCAACAAATGACCCCTTTGTTGAAGTTTCAAAAATATCAACTTTTACAAAATTTTCTTCAAGTACTGGAGCAGTATCATTTAATTTCATAACAAAAACCTGAAAACGAATGGGTTTTCATCAGTCTCGCAAGTTGCATGTATCCCTCGCTGACAAACTGATTGAAGCAAGTCTCACTCCCTTTTGTCCTCCTTCGCTAGGAAAAAGAAATCTTCTTTTTGGTTTATAATCCCCAAAAGATTGACCTTCAGATCGCGTTCCAAAGAACGTGGTGGCACGCCATCGTCTGTTGCACAAAATTTCAGCAAAAATTGCTCGATCGGCTTATCCACTAATCGGTTTTGTCGTAAAATACCGTAATTTTTGCCACTTTCTAATCGAAAATAATTCTCATTGTTACCATCAATTATGGATATCCGAACATTTTGCCCATCATCTCGATCACTTGCCGTTATCACGGCAACTACTGAACCTATAGCTGTTTCTGAACTTATCCATGCAAATTCTGAATTAGTTGGGTAGATCCTGCAAAGAGCTGAAACTTGGAAGTAGAACTAAAACAATTTTGTAACAGTAATCAGAATCTCAAATTAATTACCTGAAATTGATTTGGGGATCATGTAAATTGATATCTGTGAGATGTATATAAACCAAAGTACGACCAATTAATTTTGGTTCACCTTGGTCTTCTGCTTCCACTGTCAAAACACACATTCCCGAGCAGTCTTGCAAACAATCATCTTCTGAGCAGTTCAGCATAGTATGCTATAAAATACTAATTTTGTTTGTAGTTTCGGGTTAATTTCCTTTTGAAGATCCGGAAAAATGTATCTAAAACGATACTTCAAGCAAAACAAATCACATGACATTGAAACAGAGGAGAGTGAATCATTTATTTCTCAGGATCGCTATAATATAAGATTTTGGAAATTTCTACGTACTGCTAATGTTTCTGCATGGCATATTTCGCAGAATCATAGTTTGTTGATTTTGCCAAACAATCGACTTTTCGGAGACTGAAACACTCTTTACAAAGCATAGAATTTGTAAACAGAGTCTGAGCGTTTTATTTACCTGAATAGTTATTATACCCGTGTTGTGATCAATTTTGAAGTATTCGGAAGGATTCGTTATGAAACGATAGCTGATAAGGCCGTTATCACCAACATCTGCATCAGTAGCTTGAACCCGTAATAATGTTGCATCCGACAATTCCGATCTATTCAGCTGGACATCGTAACGTGGTTGACGAAATGTTGGTGGGTTGTCATTTGCATCTAAGACGTTTACGTAGACTATGCAGTAGCCTGAACTAAAACAATTAATTTTTAAACAAGGGTATTAAGTATTTGAATTAGAAGTCAGGGTGAAGAATATTCGGTCAATGAGACGATAGTTATATAAATGTATTTGCCATATGTTTTCTTCAGTATTCGGGAGAGAAAAATCAATAAACATATTCATTCAATTCTAAATCTTCGGCTAGAACTTTCTGGAGATCAAGAAAACTTCCTATAACTTTAATCGTGGTAATAAGCGATTATACACTATCATCATAAAATTAAAAGTACTGAATAATGACCGAGATGGGTTGCCTCCATCATAAGCAGAAATATTCAGAATGAATAGATCTTTCGTTTCACGATCCAGTTTTGCTAGCAATTCAAGTAGCAAGACATCTCCACCAGTACTGTTCGAGGACCTTATTAAAGTGAAAAATCCTTTTCCACCCTGAAATAAATCATCTGAATTTTCAAATCTTTCAAAATTTGTAACAATCTTCCAAAAAAAAGAACCGACTAACTTCAAGCTTATAATTTACAATCGTGCCATTTTCAGCTAAATCCGGATCGCTCGCTGGTTGTAAGCGTATTCGACTACCAATAACTGCTGATTCGACAATTGAAACATTCTAGAAAATAAAAGAGATATTTCAAAATTATTAATTGAAAGAATTTGTCTAAAAGAACATTGGAGGAATTTTTTTTGCTTTACTTTATATGGATTTCAATCTAATTTATATTAAGGTAGCAACGATAACCAAATTTCCGGGAAGTAAAGCAATATGAGAATTAACAATGCACCATAAATTCATGAATTCTGGACACCTGCAGCAATAATCCATTGCCTGAATCTATTATCCTTGTGCATTTTCATTCTCACTAATTATCCTGCTTCAGATCATCGACAATTACGAAGCTTTTTCCGTTGTGTTGATGGAGTGAAATATATAATTAATGCTTCCGATTAATGGTCCTTCTCTAATATACACAGGAAAATTTACTGCCGCGGAAAGTGATTAATCGTAATGTTTTCCTGCTTTTTAATTATGCAAAATTTTCGATTGAGTAACTAAATTGATCTTGATGATGCAGAAGGTCAAATATATTCCAGCTACGAACTAGTACTTAATCTTCGACGGGAAATGTTATTTAACTCCATAAAATAACAACTAAAATGCAATCATTCGTTATAGCTTGTTTATAATAATGCAAAAATTGAAAAATTATTGCTGAATTTTCCTGCATTTCTTGAAACATATATCAACTTGGTTGAGCAAAAAGATCAAAACTGATCACCGAACAACACTTTCCAAGTTCCCATAAAAAAAAGTTTTTTTTTATTCAATTAAGAATCACAATTGATTTTTAAAATTCGAAAAAGACTATGATTGCACTGGCCAACTCTTTGCTCAGCAGATCTTTAATTAATAGCGACGATTATTTCATAACATTCTGATCCACTTTGAATGCAAGAATTTATCAAGAATAGTAAATCTGTGATGCTATATGCTACAACTTAAACCAACCATATATTTTGAAGGGAACGTCGGGCTGTTATCGTTGATATCGAGTACACTGATTCGAATTGCAATAATTACGCCCGGTTCGGCAGTTAAGATCAAAATAATTGTACCATTGGGTGCAATCGTCTCTCGGTTCAATGGTGCAGAAATGTGAACTTCACCTGTGTGAATATTCACTGATGCAAACTGGTTATAGCCATTTAGTCGATAGCTGAGACTTGGTTCCAGCACAATTTTGCCGACCAATGTACCTTCCGCGATATCTACAAGAAATAACGGGAAGGATCAGAGAAATAGAAAGTTAAAACTTTAAATCCAACACTAAATTATAAAAATATTTAACTTATGATTCGTATCACATGCAATTCTCAGGTTTCCGTTAAAATGGCTGATGCAGAATGCTGCAGCGGTAACTACGGCATTAGTAAGAGCGGTGTATTTTTATTTCTAAAAAAAAGTTATACCTTCTGGAACTTCAAAGTCGAAATTTTGTGCCAAGAATAATCGGATGGGAATAACCAGATAGTAGAGCAGGAATATTTGAAGAGCACATCGCATTCCACACACTCAATTAATATTAACATTTTATATTCAAAAAAACAAAAAACACAGCGGGACAGATTACAAAATACAAATTTCGCTGACAAAAAGTGTTGGAAATTCGTAGTTTGATAGTTCAATGATTCAACAAAGATAATCTTCCGAGATAAGGGAACATCTTCCATATTTTACTTTTACCTTCCTCATATCACCCCCAAGTTCTTACATGACCGTACCATGAGATTCTCATTTTTCATTGGAGTGAGAAAACCAGAAAGTGCGGTGGACTTGGTGAATGAATTATTTATGGGTATAAATCCGAATTTTGAAAAGTAGCAACAAAAGCGAAAGTACAAGCAGGAGGAGAATTTAAAGCATAAAAGTATGAATAAGAAGTTTTGAGAACAAAAAGTCTCGTTAATAACAAATTAGCCTCCAAGTCTCTAAAACAATTGTTTGCTTAATTGAGACGTATTCAAAAATAGCAATACCCAATGAAATATATATATATATATGTATACATTTAAAAAAGAAAGAAAATTAAAAGAGAGAGAATGGAAAACTACTGCTAATTGTCGCTGTCAGGAAAAAAAAAAGACGGATTTCTGTTTGAGAATGAGTAATTTTAAAGAAATAATCACATGAAATTACTAAATTCTTTTGTTTGATATGCACTGTGCTCGTTTACTTGAAAGATTATAGTTCCCAATAAGTAAACGAGCACAGTGAAATATTGCACTGTGCTCGTTTACTTGAAAGACTGGAATTGATTACTAATAAATTCTACGGGAAAGACTTTTGTTTACTTAGTTTTACTTTACATCTTAATCATGCTTGACAGACGAAATTAATTAATAAAATAATAATGCACTGAGTGATCATAATTTCTGATCTAATTCTTGTTGAAAGCAAAAAGAAATAGAAAAAAAACAAACTTTTCCGTTGACATTGAAATTGTGTCCCCATACAACACAGCTAATCTTTTTCATAAGTGAAGGGCCAAAAAATTGAATCACTTTTTTTTTTTTATTTTGAGTAAGGAAAAACGAACGATTCTGAAGATAGGACGCAATGGGCGCAAGAAGACACAGAGAGATGTCCGCCGATAATGGCATGCAGATGTAATCTTATCGCATGATCATGGAACAAACCCAAATGACGTGTCAACAGACTATTTCGAGGGTGAAAAATAAAATAGCATAATCTTAACAAAAGTAAAATGACTTACTGTAGCGGGGCAGGTTTGCAAATGGATCACGGTGTGGCTGTCAATATTTAAATGATGAAGATTACTCTTGCCAACAATAGTCAGCGCATTTGAAGTGAAGTAACCAGTTAATTGGTAATCATCACAATTTGTTTCTGGAAATTCTGTAGTAAATAGTTCTGACTAGAAATAATCTAAAGAAGGAATGTCATAGTTCAGTCCCTTGCATCTCTATTGATAGAAATAGAATGTCAGCTGAGAAAATTGCCCGATAAGGTGAACTGGTACTTCCGGCAGCGGTAGGCAGGGAGCTGGGCGGATCCGAAATAGCTGACCATTGGGGCGTGGCCCTCGTCATCCACAGAGGATGTCCTTCCTTTAGCTATTTCTTTAACAGAGGTCAACAGTATACTTTACATGGACGGAAGGCAGAAGAGAAATGTCACTCGCAAAGACGACCTTCGAACCGTTGTGTGGATGCGGCACGAAACACTTCCGGTGCTGAGCACTTGAGATGTTGATAATACTTCTCATCATCATGAAAAAACTTATTCGAGGATTGAGTTTGTATGAAAATCGAAAAAGTAGAACTTGTTGACTATGAATAAAATACATACCTTACTCCATCTTCACAAAACTTCGATAATTTCCGCCCTTCAATTTTTACAAATCATGAATGTGAAGAGGTTGATGTAATTGTGAAGTAGTCTTTAAATGCTTGAAAATCAGCTTCTAGGCCAAATTGCACGAATGAACGATTACTCTCGGAGTTCTATCATAAAACTTTCTTCGTGCTTCAGTTCATAACATAAAATATTCCCTTGTTATTTGAGGAATAAATTAATTCATTGTTTTCCAATGTTCAGGAATTTGATTATTGTTTTAACGAATAACTATGGTCTTATAAAGTGCTCTCAGTTTTTTCGTTTTCTCTCGATAAATTAATAACATCATTTAGTGATTTTTGCTAAATCGATGAGTAATTTTTCCCTTCAACAATACTGTCTTATTGAAACACGCACAGTGGTTGAAAAACACTTTTTAAAATAACTTTTATATTGACTGCTAATGAAAATTTACCACTTGAATTTGCCTTAATTTAATTCTGCTCAGTCACTTAAATTTAAAGCGGTAGTGGATCAGAATTGCTTCCGTGAATGAAACTAATTCTATTATTCAACAATCACTCCCAATCTTTGCTTTCGAAGGTCCAAATTTACCGAAATTTTCGAATTTACCGAAATCAGCTCAAATATTTCCTTAATCCCTCCTTTGGGAATAGTTCTTTGAAAAATTTAACCATGTTTGGAAATATTGGGAACTGTAGAAGGTGACCGAGCAAATTTCCGCTACTTGAAATAGAAGTAATCTGAAGAAATGTTTAGTCATTCATAATATGCACTTTATCGATTAGTATGGTTCAGAAAAAAGAAATTAATAACGTTTCAACAAGCTACTGAGAAAGAGACCTCTTGGAGGATTCAAAAAATATGATTTGGATTGGAATAAAATAGCAAGATAAAATTTATGGATTTTAAAGCTGAAGATAATCCGTGTAATTGAGCTCTAAGAAACAGAGAGCTCATGGAATGCAACTTCAACCAGAAATGGTAGAGAAAAATAGGATATTTGTTAATTCCTTGGAAAAAAAGAGAGCGAAAGAAGAACGAAAGAGAGGAAGAATAAACTTTATGGTTTTATAAAAAATTTGATCTTCCAGATATTCAATAAAATTCGAAAAGTTTGCCATTTTCTTTCCTTCTTTTGTTACCAACAAGAATACAGAAATCAGTGTTGCATCGCTTTTATTGGTTGATGTTGTTGCTGCTCGAATTGCCAATTCGTTCCAATGGTTCAACAAATCCAAGGACGAAAATTCTTTTTTCTCCCTCAGTATCTATGGAATTCCTTTTCTTCTAGCAGAAAAAATTACAAACATCAACATGAAAAAGGAAAAGTACCGAACTGGAAAACATTGAAAATTTTGGCTTGAATATACCGTCCTACAAAAAACTTCTCTCCCCACGTTTGTACTGCTAGTTTCTCGCACAGCGATGACAATGGATGCTGACAGTATCTTACTATCAGTGATAGATCATGGATTTAGAATAATACTCAAATGGAAGTAGAAATCGAGACATCTGCACATACTAATACCCAAGACGAAATCAATGTTGAACAGGTTTATCAGTTATACGGTCACACAGAACTTCGTGTGTCGCCTTTGTGGTTACAATGCGATTTCATTTGAATGAACCGAACCGATCTTCTCGTTATTGTCCACTTCATTTGTCGTACAAATGTATCGAAATTTGTTCGAAATCCAAAAAACGAAGAAAAAACTCATTTCTGCATCACTTTTTTTTTCATATCTATTGGATCTCTTCATTTGTTTCAATTAACCAGTTCAAATATACAATGTCAACAATTCCAAATATGAATCAAACTGTTTCTGTTTCTGAGAAATATACCCTCCACTCTCCACTCATCTTCTCATTAAAAATGTGAGAGTGGAAGAAAGGAAAAAAACAAAGTACGTGATGAATTTGCAAATGGTTTCAAATTCTGATACTGGATGCGTTTTTGCGAACTTTATGACAATAAATGGCATCTGTGCAGCTAAAGAAATGCAATGAGCCACTTTGAAAATGATTATCTATGAAAAACAATTTAAATGGTTGAGGAATAGCGAGAACATGAGGTGGACAGTTTGAAATGACATCAAAGTCATCTTTCCAGGTATTTCAATGAAAAAAAAAATGCGAGTTTTTCATGTGTCACAAATTTTCTGACATATGGATTCTTGCAAATAACAATTCTTTCGTAAATTCAAGCAAATTTTCATCAGTGCATGAAACAAACGCAGCAGGGATCAGCACTGTGACCGTCTGGTTTTTGCTCTCTACTAAATTTGCAACTTTGATTTTTCTTTTAAATACAGTAAACGTTGTTGAGTAGAAGGAAATACCAAATAGGAATGAGGAGTGTGTACAATCTCATTTTGAGTGGAAAGTGACATATCAGCAAGGTCATATGTTACTTACCTTTGTCATAATTATACCATATCCTTCCATATAAATATTAGCCAACTTTCTATCTAGAATTTTGTATACTTTCATTTCTTTAAGACGCCTTTGCAACACACATCCGCATATCGTGGAGATATTTCGGATAATTTCGCAGTTCTCAACTACTGCTTCAGAAAGCAGTTGCACATGGGAGGATCGAAGATCTGAGAGGTCGCAGATGAAGTTCTCTGTTCTCCCTAATCAAAATTACGAGAAAGCCTCACACTGTAAATGCGAAAATGCTTCATTTTGATGTGAAAAAGCGATAACGGTATGTAAAGCAAAGAAAAAAATCTGTCCATAATCAATTAATCAAGTGATGAAGACAATCAGAGCAACACTAAACCATTTGTTGACAAGCAATCAGTAGTAATTCACCAACAGTCAGCGTGACTGTCAAGAATGATGTCCTGTCCTTTGTAGCACAGTGTGCGCAACTCATTACTAATCAACGTTCATCTGCCGCATGCATTTCTGCAGTTAGCAAGAAGAGAGCAATGGAGAGGAAGGGAAAGGTGCATTCTCGATAGACTTATATGGCATATAAGTCTTATATGGACTTATATGGCATGTAGCGACAATTTGAGAACTCTCGGACCGTGTAAGAGAGGATGGATTCGATAAGGTTCTGGTAATTCGGAAGTCGGAATACTATTGTGTCCAGGGTTTACGTGTCGCAAGCGTTCCTTCGCTCTTTCAAATAGTCCCGATCATTGCGCTCACTTTTACTTTCCCTTCCGGTAGCATTGTGTGTTTCCTCTGCTATTTATTCCATTGACAACGTTGTACTCCCACGTGTACTACACCTTTCAGTTTTATTACGTGTGCTTTTTCAATGTAGTATGAGGCTAATACATAGACGCAAGCAGTTTAGATATCTTCCATTTCATTTCCTTGACAAATTCTTTTCAGAGACATCTGGAAGGGAGACCAACGATACGGCGCACAAAATCGCTTGGAATCACTGAGTTGAGACTAGTGTTAAGTGCTTAACTCATAATAAATCCCATGATGTTTCTTAGAGTTAGCATTGATGTATTCATTACTGCACAAATTCATTATTTCCGGAAATCTTGGGCGCACTGTTTAATGTCGTATTGTAATCTGTCATCGTTCGCTCGCAGTAATGTTTTCTTATCAAGGTATTGCAGAGAGACTATCGGGAATAATGGGTAAGTCAAACGCTGTTGGGATTGATTTTGGTACTACACACATTGCTGTATTCATACATAGCAAGGTGGAAATCATCACTTATAATCCTAGCTCGATAGTTATCTTTGTCACACGGATGGTGGGAGACGAACAGAAATAGATGGCTCGATAGGATTTCTCCGACATACATTGAATTTTAAATTGTTAGGTATTTTTTGATATTTTCTTTGTTTGTTCCAAGAAGTAGGGTTTGAAGCTGAAATTTGGATATAAATTCTAATGTTCTTATTCATCACAATTCAGAACTTTCACCAAATTTTCTTCGGTACAAGCAATCGAAGAACTCCATCTATTATGTTGCATTCACTGATACCGAGCGCTTGATTGATCTGGTAGAATCCAAATTGCCACAAATCCACACAGTAATATTATTCTCGGTATGTTGTTGATTATTTTACACTCCTTGAAATATTATTCATGTCCCAACAACCTGGTTTGATTTGTGCCTTTTCCATACCGGAAGTGCCAAAAAACTGGGGAGAAATCCCTTTTTATAATCCAATGATACGTAAAATTGGCTGCAGTAAATTTAGGTGCTATTAAAGAATCCATGAATTTAAAGGTGTAAAAGGGTTGGTCGATAGGAAATTTGATGATCTAGCAGTATAGTCAGGCATGTAGCACTGATCCCTTCAAAGTTGTCGGTGCTGATGAGAGGCCAAAAGTTCAAGTAGAATATAGGGGCAAAACAAAAACATTTACATCAAAATGAATTTCTTCCATGAGGAAAATGAAGAAAACAGCTGAAGCATTTCTTCGACATTCTCTAAGGGGTGTTTTACAAAATGTCCCTAAGGTATGCTTCAGAAATTTCTTCCATGAACGTGAAGCATTTGCCAAGTTGTCAGAGAGCTAACCAGTAAATACTATCATGCAGCATCATAGCATACAGCAAAACGGTGCGCTACGCAGCATACCATTCTTCCTTTTGAGCTTACTGCGCTTTCTTATGCATCTATAGTTGAGTTTAGCAAAATCACATTATCATCTGAAACATATTGTCAGAGAGCAGAATTCCTTTGAAAGTGCTGGATGATTCTACTTACTGACCTTCTTTTTGCTATCAGATCTTAACAAGATGCCATCATCAATTTCCTTCTCCAGCACTTTATTGTAGGATGCCGCACCAACCGCGCATTGTATTTTAACCTCAACGACAAGCAACTAAAAATATGGGTGCCGTTGTTCGCCTAAATGTTCTTCGAATCACATCGGCGAACCAACCGTTGGTGCTATTTCGTATGGTCTGGATAAGAAGGTGTACTTAAAATATTTTGTTAAGGTCGTTGTACTTGCTTCAAACGAAATAAAATCTAAGGGTTGATGGCTATGAAAAATTATGTACTCCATATTCAAATACAAAGTTTAATTGGAGAACTTTATTTTGTATCTGTTTGATTTTATAGGGCCATGGTGAGTATAACGATTGATTTTTAATCTGATGGGGATACTTTCGACGTGCATTAACTATCACGGATGCATTTTTGAAGTGAAACCAACCGCTGGAGACACTCATCTTGGAAGTTTGTAATTTAAATTTGCAGTTATTTCTCGGAATTATTCTTGGCCAGAAAAATCTGTGGTGAAGAACAAATTTGGATCCGAACTGCGGATCCAGTGATGCGTAGTATAATAGGAGAGCGCTAAGAATCTACAAGATATAATAAAAGTTCGAATTTTACAAAATTGAACAGTTTTAGGTAAAGATTTCGGCAAAAGATGGTGAATCGCTTTGTAAACAAATTCAAACGAAAGAAAAAAAAAGGATGGCCAAATTTCATAAACTAGTATTAAAAATTCTGCCGCTACATTATCCGAATGTAGCGCGACTCTTCTTCAAACTCATTTGCATTAATAAGATCCGGCACTTTCTTAATAACACGTAATCCGTCTTGATGTTCATTCGGTGTCGATATTGATTCATTCTTCGAGGATATCTGCTTTTATACCAGTGTTACTTGCTCGTTTTGAAAGGCTTTGTATTGATCTTTTCCGTGGATCTGATCGACAAAGCACTGCAAGATGCTTAAATATGGATGATGTTCAAATACATAATATTGTTTCAGTTGGCGGTTCTACTCGTATTCCAAAAGTACAAAAACTCCGATTTCTTTTCTGGCAAAGAACTAAACAGAGCATTAATTCGGATGAGATACAGCATATTATTGATATGCATGTTGTAGAATGAAACTGAGAATATTTTCCCTCTTTCGTTGTCCATTACATATCATTCGTAAAATTTATTTTCTAGGCTATAGCTTATGTTTATTTCTTTAGTTTCTTATGTTTCTTTTCGTTTAGTTCTTTTCAAAATTGCTGCTTACAGTGCAGGAGCAAGCATAAGCAGCAATTTTGTCAGGCGATAAATCCGATGCTGTATAAGATTTACTAGCGCTGGATGTTACGCCACTACTGCTGGGTATCGAACAGGCGGTGATACTACGTTACTTATTCCGACAATCAACCGGGAGTACTGATCCTGGTCTGCTGGTTCTTATTTGCCTCGTATGAATTTCTAAACCACAAGTTTTCAAACCAAACGCAGATTCTCGCCTTTGGAAATTCAGAGAGAAAAAAAAATCCCTTACGAAATAAGATTTGCGATGATGAGAGACAAAATATGTTGGGCATCACTTTTGATATTGTCCAGCTTCAAAACATCAGGTGTTTTGTAACTCCGGAAGAACTGGTTTCATGTCGACTCAAAGTAAGGTCACGCACGTTAAACGGACTCCTCTTTCGTCCTAGTGTAGTCGTGAAATCCTTTTAGTGAGAAATATCACCGACATTATCCGTACCTTGCAGAATAGTCAGCCTCCATTACTAAAAAAAAATCCAGTCACAGAGTCGTGATCCAGCTGGACTAATTATTAATAATTTTTGGTGTCTTCATTTCTAAAGGAAAGTTCGTTGAAAGTTTCGAGATAGAAGACAAGAACCTATTAATCCTCTTGTCTAGTCCAGGAATGCACCAGGTGGGGTCCCATAAGGAAGTGGCCCCAACAGCGGAGGGGATTAAAATCTGTTACTGAAGCAGTGATTTTTGAAGTGAAGAAACGTTAATCGAGTTGATTTCACCGATAAGCAGTTGATTTAACGAGTTTTGTTTGTAAAACTAATGATGCATAAAACTACTAAAGTAACGGATGAGAATGGAACAGGTGTAAATACAATTACCAGTACGGGTTGCTTTGCAAACAGGTCAGTTACGAAGAAGCTATATGTGCATTATTCCGGTCAGAAGCCGCAAAACGAAAGCGATGTTAAATTGTGTGATCTGATGAATATAAAGGAGGGATGGTGATTTAAAAGTTACGGATTCGGGAGTTCGGTTTTTGGCTCATGTCGCTAATTCCTGAACTTCATACGTTGGTGAAAAGAATAGACGAAAGGGAGAAGTTGGTTCAAGAAACGAACCATGGAAAGAAGTGTCGCATAGGACAATATTCAGGTTGGGTTTACTAAGTTCAGAGATAACCTACCCATGCTATCACTCCTTAGCTTTACTATTCCTTGTTTCACACAATTTATTTCGCCATGAGCGACCGGTTCAACGGGAAATAGTATTCATTGTATAAATGGTATTCACGCCAAATGCTGCAAGGCTACTTCCAAAGATTGTAGTGCCGAATACTTCCGGACAGTAATCATAGTAGCGTCTGAGTGTATGCAGTCAACCGCTGTAGAGCAAAATTCACTCAAATCTAATAGAACTGGAACCTGCATCATAATAAATTAGCATGTGCATACCTACAGCTGGTATGCAGGGGATTCCCAATTCCCATCTCTGTTTGTTATACTGCTTGAGAACATCCCTCCAACAAATCCGAGTACCATAAAAGCCAGGAGATAAGCCAGAGAGATGCATCGACTGACAGCACATCCCCCGATTCCCTCTACTCCCAAGTCAATGTTCTAGAACATTCCTCGACCTGCCCCCTTATTGCAATCCTAATGGAGCTTCTAGAATATTCTGCCACACTCGATGTCTGTCTTACTCTAAATGCAACCACTCTCTCGCTCTGGCTGCAGTCACTTATCATCATTGATATTTTGCCAGCAGCACTCGCACACTGTATTGTTAGAAGACACTTTCAGTCTGCTCACAGAACATTCTTTAATCTTCGAGAACATTCGATGTCCACATATAAAGAGACTGAACGATGGTCGATTGTTAGTGGTGAATTGTTTCTGTGCATAGGTTGGGTGGTGATTCTGGTGGGAGGGATGGGTGGTTAGGGTGTGTGGTAACTTGTGCCTTCGATGTCAACATTAGACCTGTGTTTATAATGTTGCAGGTTTGTCCGTTGTAGGCTATTATAGCACTTCACACAGCAAATATGTCAAAGAACGCTATTGGTATCGATCTTGGAACTACGTACTCCTGCGTGGGTGTGTTCATGCATGGCAAAGTAGAAATCATTGCTAACGATCAAGGTTGCAACTGTTACTAATATATTACCCTAATATTGATTGGTTTACCTAACATCTTATTGTCGTTATTCAGATCTTTGTTCTAACAGTATGTGCCGGTTGCTCGGTTCAGAGTCCTCGATACAAAACCGCAACTCTACCGTTATTTTATCTACTGGGTTACATACTTCCATTGGAAGCCAGTGTTTGTATCGATTTCGGCAGGATGTGTAATGATGCTATGCCATGTGGTAAAGCACATTGTTAATGCTTTAGCAAACCTGCTGAATAGATCTAGTTACTAGTTCAGCGTATCACTGTAAAAATTGGAATTGTGTTGAAGTGGTGGCGAATGAGGAATTCGACATTTCAGGTAACCGAACAACACCATCGTATGTAGCATTTACGGATACTGAGCGTCTCATTGGTGATGCAGCCAAAAATCAAGTTGCAATGAATCCACATAACACTGTTTTCGGTAAATCAGTAGATCTTTTTGCAGTTGCATGATTTGATAATGGGTGGTAGTTTTCGACTTCCAGGTTAGGTCCCTGTTGTCTTGGTAATACACGTCAGTTGTAATTTCAGATGCGAAGCGACTGATTGGTCGTAAGTTTGATGACGGGTCAGTGCAATCAGATATGAAACACTGGCCATTTAAAGTAGTGAATGCTGGTGGTGGTAAACCAAAAGTGCAGGTTGAATACAAGGGAGAGACGAAAACCTTCACACCAGAAGAAATTTCGTCGATGGTTTTGGTCAAAATGAAGGAGACGGCTGAAGCTTTTCTGGGTCATGCGGTGAAAGATGCTGTTATCACAGTCCCCGCCTACTTTAACGACTCACAACGACAAGCAACTAAAGATTCTGGTGCAATTGCTGGTCTAAACGTCCTTCGTATTATCAACGAACCAACAGCTGCTGCTATTGCTTATGGTTTGGACAAGAAGGTACCTCGTATATAAAGAGAATATTCACTAACAGCTTAAGTGACACGCTAGCAGTGATGTATCTTTTATGTTGCAGGGCCATGGTGAACGCAATGTACTTATCTTTGACCTTGGTGGTGGTACTTTTGATGTGTCTATCCTAACCATCGAGGATGGTATTTTCGAAGTCAAGTCTACTGCTGGCGACACTCATCTTGGAGGTGTGTTTTCATATTCCTACCGAGGTTCATGAGAGGACTGGGTCACTCCTGGAAGTGTTTTTAAGATGTAGATGCCGTGTCAATTATTCTAGTAGGTATAATCTCATTCATTTGCAGGCGAAGACTTTGATAATCGCATGGTCAATCATTTTGTTGCGGAATTCAAGCGTAAACACAAGAAAGATCTTGCTACTAACCCACGTGCGCTTCGTCGTTTACGTACTGCATGCGAAAGGGCGAAACGAACACTCTCTAGTTCATCTCAAGCAAGGTACATCTTGCTAATAGATAAGTTCTATCTTTTACAGAAGTCTTGAAAATGGAATGTGCTTATTCAACTTGAGGTTCCCGTACACTAGTGTGGTAGTGGACATTCCTTTTTCAGTATTGAGATTGATTCGTTGTTCGAGGGGATTGACTTCTACACAAATATTACGCGTGCTCGCTTTGAAGAACTTTGTGCTGATCTTTTCCGCTCAACAATGGATCCGGTTGAAAAAGCATTACGTGATGCTAAAATGGATAAAGCTCAAGTTCATGATATTGTGTTAGTGGGTGGGTCGACACGTATCCCAAAAGTGCAGAAGCTCCTGTCAGATTTCTTTTCTGGTAAAGAATTGAATAAAAGCATCAATCCAGATGAGGTAAGCTACCACTTGAAACAGTTTTTTTGGAAACAGACAAAGTTTCGGTAATTTTGTGAAACTGTGAATATTCTGAATATTCTTTCTTGTCCTTGGGCTAGCCATGTAATTTTAAAATGAAAGAATTTGCAGGCCGTGGCATACGGTGCAGCAGTGCAAGCAGCTATTCTTTCTGGTGATAAGTCGGAAGCCGTACAAGATTTGTTACTGCTTGACGTCGCACCACTTTCACTTGGTATAGAAACAGCTGGGGGCGTTATGACTGCTCTTATCAAGCGGAACACTACTATTCCTACGAAAACTTCTCAAACTTTCACGACTTACTCCGACAACCAGCCTGGAGTCCTCATTCAGGTTTGCTCTTTTAATTTTTTTTGGCTTTAAGGTTTCTTGAAGAGTCGTGAAATATATATGGTCTTTGGAATTGTGAACTGAAGAACTAAAATTCAGGTTTACGAAGGAGAACGTGCTATGACCAAAGACAATAATTTGCTTGGTAAATTCGAGTTGTCTGGAATTCCACCTGCTCCTCGTGGTGTGCCTCAAATTGAAGTCACATTTGATATTGATGCGAACGGTATCCTGAATGTTTCTGCACAGGATAAATCCACAGGCAAACAAAACAAGATAACAATTACAAATGATAAAGGGCGTTTGTCGAAGGATGAGATCGAGCGGATGGTGCAGGAGGCCGAGAAGTACAAAGCAGATGATGAAGCACAGAAAGATCGTATTGCAGCGAAGAATGCTCTCGAGTCATATGCATTCAATATGAAGCAAACAGTCGAGGACGAGAAGGTAGTGTCATGAATATTTTTTCCGGGAAGTGGTAGTGTGCTTTTTGGTTCACTAATTGAGGAACAGTGTATATTGGCAAGAATCATTGTCTTGTTTTCAGTTGAAGGATAAGATTTCTGAAGAGGATAAGAAAAAGATTCAAGAGAAATGCGACGAAACAGTTAGGTGGTTGGATCGTAACCAGACAGCTGAAAAAGATGAGTTTGAGCACCGACAAAAGGAATTGGAGTCTGTTTGCAATCCGATCATTACAAAACTCTATCAGAGTGCTGGTGGTATGCCTGGAGGTAAGTTGATTGAATGATTTGTTGGTTGGGATTAGTGATCTTCGGTGCCTGTGTTGCATTACTTACCTCTCATTTGCGTAATTTGATAGAACTCTATCAACTGCTTGTTGCAGTACTAATTTCGTTTGGTATGAAATGTACAGGGCGGTATGAGCTAATCAGCAATCAGTAGGAATTATCTAATGGCGGGGATTTTTTCAGGAATGCCTGGTGGCATGCCGGGTGGAGCTCCAGGTGGAGCTTCGACGGGCGGTGGACCAACAATTGAAGAAGTTGATTAGATGATTTGTCGATCGGAATTAACGATCTCGTCTTTGCTGCATGTATTACCTCTCGTTACCTGTTTCTGATGTTATGAAATTCAAATTATTGAGTTCTTTGCAATCTCATGTTACTTGAGACGTGGTCGAGATAGGTTGTACTTGAAGTTATCCATATTGATGTGCTTGTTATTGTTTTCTTTTTTGATTTGTAAGTAAAACTTAAGTTATGGTGCGTATAGATGAAAATATCATAAGTGGTGCTAAAGGAGCGAGCACGGTGACTCCGCGTCTTCGTAGTGGAGCCGGTAGGCATCAAATAAAAAGATAGCGGAGTTGGTTAGCGATGCGAAGTTTTCACAACTATGGGATTCACTGTACTCGTGATTGCTCCAGGACGCGAAGGTTGTGTGGTGGTTGAATACGTCATGTCTTTTCTAGAAGGGGATTGTTCCTGTAACCCGTGAAGGCTTAGTCGGACGTGGTAGTGTATTCTACGCCAGAGTATCACTGCCATTTAGCAATAGCGCGGAGGTCAGTGCTAACAAAGAATGTTTTGTCCCTAACGTAAGCGGCGACAGAAATCACCGTGTGTTACACTGGACGACTTTCCTGGGTAAGCGATAGCGCCAACATCGCAGGACGCTTAATCATTTACGCTGGGGAGCGCACCGCAATACAGATCGCCTGTGTACCTCGAGTCAAACTAGAGAGTGGCTTCTTATGGGAAAATCCCAATCTCTTACATTCCATGCTATTAGCTTTTTAGCAGCACAGTCGACTTTTTTAAATGCTATTAAATTATTTTATTGTCATTTAAGAATAGCATTGTTATGAACGTCAACAAAAACGATTTTAACTTGGACAATTGGAAAAATTCCCTTTTGTTCTACTAGACAACTATCCAAAGTCCCTTTGCGAAGTTTTCGAGATGTATAACATTTAAAAAATAGGGGCCCGACACAAGCTGGGAGACTCACACTATCCCCTTTTATCAAATAAGCATTGTTGATTAAAATTTCTGTGAATTCCGCAAGAAGTGCATCAGGATCACTCTACATGTCATCATCATCGTCGCCATTTCTTCGCTGTACTGGTTTCTCAAGCTTAATCAAATCATCAATACGAAGAATCGTTATGGCAGCTTCAGTCGCAAACTTCAGACTTTTAATTTTACTCATTAGTGGTTCAAGAATGCCAGCTTCCTTGTTATCACGGATTTCACCATTCTCTAAATCCAAACCAGCCCTAAATTGAAAAGTAGATTGAATCAAGCATGAAATAAACCTGCTAACCTTCACACCCTTGCCCCACTACTCTATTTCAGTTCAGATCCCTCAGAAAGTACCAGCACTTACTTTAGTTGGGTTTAAGCAAAAAAGTATCAGATGGTGAAAATTAATCAGTTTCCCACAAAAATATCATAAATACCATTTCAGATGAACGAGTTCCTTCACTTGTTGTGCTTTGTTGTGAAATGCCCGCAATTTAGCGACCAATTCCGTTGAATCTTTGGCGGCATTTGAGGCGAGCACTTTCGGAATAACAAGTAGTGAATTAGCGAATTCAGCTACAGCAAGCTGTTCGCGGCTTGACTGCAAAAAAGTGGCATTTTATACTACAATAATAAGCATTCTAGTCACATCAAATATTTAAAAACCAATTCATCCGACTCGAAGTTATATATTTATAATATGAGTCCAGAGACCAAAGCATCAGTTGCAAATCTAAACTACGAAATGCTGCTGAAATTATACTAGTTAAAAGGAATCAAGACTCACTAAAGTGGTGGCAAATGCTTCAAGATAAACATTCAGCGAAGCTTCTACTGCCCCACCACCAACAACCAATTTTTTGCTTTCAAGTACTCGCTGGACAACACAAAGCGCATCGTGAAGTGATCGTTCCATTTCATCAAGCATCACATCATTTGGTCCACTAAATACCAACTGCAGTAAGAAAGGAGCAGCAATGAAAGCATCAAAACGATCCGACTCATGGCAAAGCAGCATTCTACTTCCTTCTTTTAACCAAACTCATAAAATTTTTTTAGTATCTGCCATGATGCATATAAGGGACTTGTTGAACAAAAAATCAGAGTAAATTTTAAATGACTTCAACTATACTGAGGAAAAGGTTCAGAGTACCAGACGATATTAAATTGTTCAACGATTAAGATAATACGGAAAAAGATTTTAACCGAAGTATAATCGAAGATGATGTTCGCGCTTTCGGTCCTTTGATGAGGATAAGTTCATCGTCCGAAATTCTTTCCTGAACTACTTCATCAGCTATACCAAGCTGGGAAGCTTCGAATGCTTCCGCGCCTTCCAGGGTTGCCAAAGATGACATTAAAGTGGCTGAAACATAATTTTTCCCTAAATTAGATAAAAAAAAAAACTTCATGAAAGATTGCACTCCCAAGATACTTGAGCTCTCCATAATCATGAATTCTATCCTTTAGAATACATAAAGTCTTCCAAGAGAAGAGATATTTTTTATACACAAAAAGACATACAAAAAATATATATGTGAATATAAAGGATATTTTTTTTTAAAGAACATTTTTTCAATTTCGAGATGAATTAGTACTTCAACCGCGATTATTATATCAACCAAAAAGAAATTCAAAGAAACTGCTACCTCCTGTTGCTTTGGCAATTCGTTTCAAGTCAATCTTTTTGCATCGTCGAACCGCCATTGCACCTGCTTCCACAAATTGCTTTAAGCAGAGATCATCAATTCCACCTGTGGTCAGTATCACATTGGCTCCAGCTTTCAAAATTTTTTCAATCCTTCGTTTCGTTATTTCGTATTCTCTACAACCAAATATTTCTTAAAAGCATCAGAAAAACATTACCAATCCTATGTGAAGAGAAACACGCAGTGAAAGTAATTCCATGACTTAAATAAATTTAAAATAAATAGGACATAAAAATAACGCTATAAAATGTACCTTAGAAAAACTTGACCTTCTGAAGCGAGAAGGTAAAGATAATATCTATAAAAAATAAGTTGAAAACTTACTCACGACGAAATGCTTCAAGCTTTGCTGGGTCTTCAACTACCACCGATATTCCAAGATGCATTTTGACCTTCTGAAGTGAGAAGTCCAAACATGCAATCTTCGCATTATGAATAATGCGTGGCATAGCTAAAAGCAACGTCGTCAAGTAATCAAAAAAACAAATAAGAGTGACGAAGTCCCTAAGTAATAACATGACACAAATAAAGAAGAAAGCAACTGAGAAACAATGCATAAATTTATTATTCATTCCTCTACTTTACTGTTTTTCACGACAAAATTTATTGAAGTCTAAAGAGAACCATGATCGTAGCTGCAAAGTTTACAGCAAAACTTCATAAGATTATCAGCAAAAAATGAGCGAATTATTTTGAAATATGAAGCAGATGACGTAGAAAACACTTCAGGTACTTTTGTCAAATTATGCACATAAGCTAAACGTGATAACCAACGGCGCGAAAAGGAAAGATGGGGAGGGAGAAGCGGGGAAGAAAAAAATGAGACTTACGACTAAAAAGGGTTATGAAATTTCAACATAAAAATTACCTTGACTAGCAACAGTACAGTTCAGCGCATAGCCCTTAATCAGAAAGCTTTCACGTACTGATTTCCCATGTGCTTTCAACACGTTGACAGCCTTGATTGGATATGTAACCTTACCCTGGATATCACTTACCTTAACTAGTTCTGCCGCTTCAACGACCATGTCAGCAAAAAAATCAGCATCTCTGTAAGAAAACAAAACATCCTAAAGATACAGAAGGTTTAAAGAAATGGACAAGAATTGTTTCACGTCGACATTATTTTCATATTCATGAAAACAGAAGTGTTTTAAAAAATGCAATAGCATTCATCCAAATAATAAGTTCCGATTCGAGGCGAAATAAAGAGAAAAGAGAGATGGATGCGTTTAAAGACCATATCTTTAATCCTAAAGTACATCAAACTTATATGCTAAGCACAGTTAGTATTAAAAGAAAAGATGAAGATTTACACTTTAATTAAATATATGTAGATATATATAATATACTGACTTCAACCAAATTGTACTACCCCACATCTCTGAAAATATGGAATAAGAAAAAGAAAACGTACGGCCCAATGACTTTTGAAGACATCGCTGTCTTTGCAGCTTCAATAATCGAATGTCGACCCAACTCCTGAGATCCAAATGACAAATTGTCCTGCAGAAAAAAATTAGAACATAGGATACTACCACTGCTACCCATGAATACTACACGCTGTTGCTCATTCACCAAACATCCACAGACTAAACATAAAATTCCTTTGCTCTACTAATTACCACTAGTTCTGGACTGCAGGATCTTTGTTGTTACGTGAGGAAGAACAATGCTGAAATATGGCTGATGAAAATGTAAAATGTGGTAGTGACTTTTCGGAAATAACGATCTTCAACCTTTGAACCCAGTGTATATGAATAAGCCGTAATTAAGTGAATAAAAATCACCAAACCTTTGGATATCAGCAAAACTTCTACCTGCATATAACGCACTGATTCTTTACAAGCTAACCGATAACCATTGATGACGGTTGTGGGATGAACTTGCTGCTTAACTAATTCATCAGCAGATTTAAGCAACTCAGCCGCCACAATAACCACCGATGTTGTTCCATCGCCAACCTTTTAAGGAATTTATTTAAAATTGGTAAAATAATTTCAATTGGAACTATATGCAGAAAGCAGAATGAAGATTTGAGAATAGTTTTTGGAATGCTCACAAATCCAGATATTCTGTAACTAATTTATAAAAAAATAAATGATTAAAAAAATGTATGATTGAACACCTCCTCATCTTGTAACTGAGCCAATTCGACAAGAACTTTCGCTGCCGGATGTTCAACTTCTATTTGTTTAAGGATTGTCGCACCGTCGTTTGTTACTACTGCATCCTGCAATTGAAAACAAGTTCTTCGGAAACTTCAATGCGGACAGGACTGCACGAATTCCAGAATACGACTCTTGATCTCATCTTATGAAGCATTCCTTCATAAGTTTAAATGTTGCTAGAATATACCGTAAGTATATATGTATATATATATATATATATATATATATATATATATAGTG